CAATATGAAAAAGCAATTACGTGATCAGTTATAGGCTATTAAGCTCAATTTGTGTAGTGTTATGATAAAATGAAAGGCTATCAAGATACAGCAGGCGCCCAAGGATGAGTGTGTGTCTGGACACTCAAGAGTGAGACACACTGGAAGTCATTGTGGATCCTTCAGCCTCATAAATAATGTTATTGAATCAGTCCTTATCTGCAGACACCATAATCCTTAACTCAGTGTCCCAGACCACTGTTGATGAAACTGATAGACTGGGCCAGTTAATCTTTAGAAAACAATCGTGATTTCTTAAAGGGAGATCTGGTGCACAGCAAGCCCTGAATGAATAATGAGTAATGTAATTTTAGTTAAGCCCAGACACTTAGACCAGACCTAATCACGCAAAAAAGTTTTTAAAGTCCGCATGTTTCCTTTGGCGCCACCAGGGGGCATCCTCATGTACGGCGCGCTGGTGCTGTTTGAGTCGGAGTTTGTTCACGTGGTTGCCATCTCCTTCACGGCACTCATCCTGACTGAGCTGCTGATGGTGGCGCTGACGATCCGCACTTGGCACTGGCTCATGGTGGTGGCTGAGTTCTTCAGCCTGGGCTGCTACCTCGCCTCACTCGCCTTCCTCAACGAGTACTTTGGTAGGTATACTTTTCCTCTGAGTTTTTCACTACTGGTTTACTGACCTTTTAAACATTTAAGGTGTCAGGAGATAATAGAATATCTTTATATTTAAAAATCCTATCAAATAGTTACATGAAAGGTTATATGAGAACTTATTGTTGTACTTTAATCTGCTAAATCAAACCTTAGTCTGAACAACCATGAAGAGTGATGCAAATATGCTATCTTTCAGTTGCTAAACAGTCAACTAACCTGCTTGTGAACAGCTTGAACAGTCGATGTGAGGCTTTTACTTTTGGTTTGATACGTCCAGTATTGATTGGTCTGAGTACTTCAAGGAACCACCTTCTTCTTCACTGTGCCCACTCTTTTTAGTTTGATGTAACACTACTTGGCACCCAAGTGTTGCGCTGTTGTTTAAACCCTCAGCTCTGTGCTTTTATTCCCTCCTCAGTCTTTTTCTTCTCTCTCTGTCTGTCCTATTTTTATTTCTGTCTTCACTGCTAACCTTTTTGCACTGCACTCACTGTTTCTGCTGCACTTCTTTTGCTTCTATGTGTCGGCAACAGGCATAGGCAGGGTGTCGTTGGGAGCTTTCCTTGGTAGGTGTACAGCCTGTGAATTCACTTCTTTCTCCTTCATCTTTCTCTGATATTATATATCTGGTCTTGCATCTGTATGTTTGCATCATCTTATGTTCTTGGGTTTATTTTGTCGTGTGGGTCGTTTTCATCTCACGTGTTTAAGTTTTTATTTTCATGCTTTGACCAATACGCAATCACCAACATAATTTTAGAGCGCGATCATGTCGCTGTAATAAAGTCTTTACCCTTTCCTAATTTCCTGTGGAGTTATGACAGAACTCTGACGATTGTCCTCTTTCCTTCTCCCAGACTTGTCCTTCATCACGACTTGGCCTTTCCTGTGGAAGGTGTCCGCCATCACACTCGTCAGCTGTCTTCCTCTCTACATAATCAAATACCTGAAGCGCAAATTTTCACCACCAAGCTACTCCAAGCTCTCCTCATGAGCCAAACTGGGATTATGTTTTTGTTAGGTTTGTAGTTCTGTGCAGCAATGAGCTTTGTAATTTTCGCACTTTTTGTACACACTGGTCCTCAGTGATGGACAGAGGAAACACTGGAACAATCAAAAAAAAAAAAA